TGGTGAAATTAGGACATTTCCAGATAAACAGAAATTAAGGGAATATGTATAAACCAAACCAAACTTACAAGAATTATTAAAGGGAGTCCTTCAGTTTGAGAACAAACAACATCAGATGACAGCGTGAATCTAGGACACCATATAGCACCAGCCAGATACCAACCTAGGAAATGAACTCTCAAGGACTATTCAAAACCAAGACTTACAGCAGAGAACCGGAGAGGTTAATCTGCAAATGACAACAACGTCAGAACAATAAAAGTGGGAATAAACGGTATAGGTATAGAACTTTCTAATGGAGAGGAATGCAAGATGATACCAAGTAATAATAGACTGTTCCAAACTTAGGAAGATAGGGGTAAATTTCAAGGTAACCAAAAAGAAAGCTAACAAACAAACTCATCAGAATAAACGAAAAACAAATGTCTCAGTAAAAATAAAATCTACAAAAATGAAAGAAATGGGAAAAAAATCCACAAACAAAAGAAATTCAGCACATACTGACCGTTTAATGAGAAAATATTTGTTCTGTAAACCTTCACCGAAAGTACAATAAAAAAAAAAAATTAAAAAGAAATTCAGCACAGGAGAGTAAGAGGAACAAAGAAATCATCAGCACCACAAAAAAAAAAAAAAACTACAAAATGAAAACAATTAACTCATACCTATCAATAATTACACTGAATGTAAATGGGCTAAAGGCACCCATAAAGAGACAGAGAGTGACAGAATGGATTAAAAAACAGGATCCATCAATATGCTGTCTACAATAGACACACCTTAGAAACAAAGACATAAATTTATTAAATAATTAAAGGATGGAAAAAATATATCAAGCAAACAGGTACCAAAAAAGAGCAGGAGTAGCAGTACTAATCTCAGATAAAATGGACTTAAAAACAAAGCCTGTCATAAAAGACAAAGAAGGGCACTATGGCATGATTAAATGGACGATCCAGCATGAAGACATAACCATAATAAATATCTACACGCCCAATGACAGAGCTCCAAAATACATAAAACTAACTCTAAGAGCACTGAAAAGAGAAAATGACAGTTCCTTTATAATAGTAGGAGAGTTCAACACACCATTTTTGGTAAAGGACAGAACATCTAGAAAGAAACTCAAAGATACAGAAGATCTGAAGGCCACAATAGCCAACTTGAATTCATAGACATATATAGAACACTCCACCCAACAGCTGCAAAGTATACAGTCTTTTCCAATGCACATGGAACGTTCTCCAGAGAAGACCACATATTAGGCCAGGAAGCAACCCTCAATAAAATCCAAAACATTGAGATAATACAAAGTATCTTCCCTGATCACAATATTATCGAAGTTGAAATTAGTAGCAGGAAAAAAAATCCAATACGTGGAAACTGAGTAACACCCTGCTTCAAAACCACTGGGTAATAGAAGAAATCAGAGATGGAATCAGAAAATTCCTAGAAACAAACGAGAATGAAAACACATCATACCAATGGGATACAGCAAAGGCAGTGCACAGAGGTCAGTTTATAGCAATAGACGCACATATCAAAAAAGAAAGGGACAAAATCAAAACATTAGCTACATTACTCGAATGAATAGAAAGATAACAGCGAAAGAAGCCCACAGCCACCGGAGGAAAGGAAATAATGAAGATCAGAGCAGAAATAAATGAAATAGAGAACAGAAAAACAATAGAAAGAATCAACAAAACCAAAAGTTGGTTTTTTGAAAGGATCAACAAAATCAACAAACTACTAGCCAAACGGACAAAAGAAAAAGAGGAGAGGACACAAGTAACCCAAATAAGAAATGAAATGGGGGACATTACAGCAGATCCAACTGAAATAAAAAGGATCATAACATAGTATTATGAAAAACTATCCTCCAATAAATTTGAAAATCTAGAGGAAATGGACAAATATCTAGAAGCACACCACCCACCCAAACTACAACAAATCGATGTTGAAAATCTGAAAAGACCCATAACGAGATTGAACAGGTAATAAAAAAGCTCCCAACCAAAAAACAAAAAGCCCTGGCTCAGATGGCTTCACTGGAGAATTCTACTAAACATTCCGAGAAGAGTTTTTACCAGTACTACTGAAATTATTTCAGAACATAGTAATGAGAGGGATACTTCCAAATTCATTCTATGAAGCCAGCATAACCCTGATAGCAAAACCAGGCAAAGACATCACAAAAAAAGAAA